TGGCCAGAGTTTAGACACATCTTCAAAGTCAAACTGTCAATATTTGCTGATGGACCAGATATGAGATAGGAGAGAAGGAAAAGATTTAAGAATGACTCCACACTTCAGGAACAACAAGGAGGCCTAAGGACCTCCGACTTCTATTTACTGAGATGAAGAACATTAGGATATTACAGAGAAGAAATCTGGTGGAGAGGATAAAAATAGGAATAAGGACACAACATCAATAGTCTGAGATGTTGTTCAGCACCTGTGTTGAGCTACACAGGCAGCTGGATATACGGTTCTGGGGTCAGAGATGGAGATGCATGTTCGGGATAAGTCACCTTAAAACCTTGAGATCTGCCTCAACATCAAACTTAAGACCCCACAGTACAGTTAGAAGGAACGTGGGATCATAGCAAGTTCCTGAAATATCAAAAACTTCCAAAATAACATGATAACATCTTTAAAGAAGACACTTAGCCAACTACCATTAATGGTGTTAAGTAGAGTAACAAAGTAAAGAGACAGAAAATGTTTGATGCCTTGCTTGACCAACGAAGATTGCAAAAGAGAACAACTAAGGGGAATTTATATGATTCTTACGCTAGGTATTCTTTACATTTTTTACATTTTTTTAATTTAAAAAAACTTCATATCATAAAAAGAGAATTAAGAGAGCATGACATGCTTGCCTGTTTCTTGGGCATCTAGCATCTACTAAGGTGGGCACAGAATCTACAGCTGAGAGTTAATGCCGAAAAATGGCCCAGGAAGGAACTGCCACTCAGAAATCTTAAGCTCTCTTCTAACCATAAGAACTGCCCACTCAAAACATCCCCCTTTTCAAATGGCACATCTGCATTTGTGACCACAGGTCACACACGGATACAAACTAACAGACAGATCATCAACTGTTAGGACCCTCTAGTCAATCCCAAAGGTTCCACTTCAGAAGAGGAGTCACACCAAATCTTTCACTTGGGTAAGAATAGTTTTAAAATGTAACTATTTCAAAATAATCCACTTTCAAATACAAGAATAAAAGTATTTCACTAGAAAATTTGGAGGGACTGAAGCCTTAGAAAATCTGTGAAGAAAAGATGCCAAATAGTAATCCTATAGGAGCAATGCCAGTGCGCTCACAATTTAAAAACAGTGACTGGTCTGGAGCGGTGCCTGTGGCTCAAAGGAGTAGGGTGCTGGCCCCATATACCAGAGGTGGTGGGTTCAAACCTGACCCCAGCCAAAAACTGCAAAAAAAAAAAGCAACTGGTCTCCAGGAAGACTGTTGTTGCTTGTGTCACTTAAAACCTTTTCACCAAAAATGAAGAATTCGTCTCTGTTAAGAGGTCGAACCATTTCCCTTTCTGTTCTAAACTTTGATTTTGCTTCTTCACTCAATTGACGCAAACGTTGGCTTAAAGTTCATAAAGTCCAATTTTTCATAACCCCCTGTATTTCCCACTTCCCACAAAATAAAAAAGTAATCAACTGTTTTTACATATGGAAGAAAGAAGAAACAGAATAAAACACATCTATTATAGTATATTGTTGAAGGTTCTATAACATATAGGTATATATGTAAATATGCGTGCATATACACATACACATACCTCTATATGTACTTGTCTTTAAAAATGTGAGTTTTTCACTATGTGAAAGTTATTAAGTAAGAAATGTCCAATTTCCTTAAGTACTAAGTTTGATAGTTGTATCTCTTACATTTCATTTTGACACATCTTATTTTTTGCTTTTTTGGTTCTTTTTTTATATGTTTTTTCTTTGCAAATGCATGTTTTGGCTTTCAAATTTTTTAGGAGGGTCAATTTTTGAGAAACCACAGATAAGTCAAAAATCCCTATTATTGGGTAGCGCCTGTGGCTCAAGGAGTAGGGCGTCAGCCCCATATACCGGAGGTGGTGGGTTCAAACCCAGCCCCAGCTTCCCCCCAAAAAAATCTCTGTTATTTACACATGTGAGTTCCATCCTGGAACTAAGGCAGCACAGACAGCTCAAAATATCAATGAAATGTTTGGGGAAAATGTGGCCAATGAATGTGCAGTACTTGGATGGCTTGAGAAGTTCCCTTCTGGTGCTTTTAATCTTGAAAATGAACCATGGAGGACATGAAACCAAAGTGGGTAATGATGAGCTGAAAGCTGCAGTGGAAGCAGATCCATCTCAACCTGTGTATGAACTAGCAGCAAGGTTTGATGCTACTGTTCCAATAATATTGGACAATCTGAAACAAATGAGCCAAGCAAAAGGCTGGATA